GGGAATGGAGGTGAGGGAGCGAGATGTCACAGAGCGTCAAAGGCTAATCAGCACATCTGTGCCTCGCAATCACGTCCCCATTCACTAAACTTTTTCTCCAGAGGGTTAGCACGTTTTAAGTAATGCTTTATTGTCACCTGTCAGAGGGGCTGACATCTGACATGTAATAAATGACTTCAGGCAAATCAACCAACATAACATAGAAGAGGCTTTTCCTGGAACTCGTGGAAAAAAAACTCTACAGCAGCATCATTTTATTTCATTGTGAGTTTTGGGATCTGAAGCTCAACACTGACAGTTATGTTAAGATTCAGTGCTTCCCACCAAAATGCATTGTGTGAGGACTAACAAACATGTTGAATGCATTTCCTTCTTTAAAAACCCATTTGCAAAGTCCATTTATATCAATATTTAGAAAACATGATTGTTTACATCAACTAATACTAGTTTGACAATTTCAGTATCATTGCCTTGTATATATACTGTACATACACACTGAGATGTTAAAAATGTCAAATTAAATCAGAATGATTCTGGCGAAAGAAAACTGTAACATGTTCCATTAAATACATATCATGTTCACAATTCTTTACAGTTATAATCCTTCCAATAGTCATTCAATGTAATGTTTTAATAATTTTTTTTTGGTAATGGCAAAATCACCATTCCTATGCTGGATTCAGCTGTGTGCATGTAATAGCGCATTTTTACCTCATTTAAAAAACAGCCTCACCGTTTACTTTCAGATCAACCAGGAGCACTTTGTCATGTTTTTTTGAACTTTCCAAGTTACTTAACTGGTTTAATTAATATCAGATGTATGTAGTATGAGAAGTATAAAACTACATTTTAAGCTATGCTAATTTGTAGAAATCAGATAGATTTAATAGAGTAGAAACTGTACATACATACATACATACATACATACATACATACATACATAAAAGTGCATGTAAAAAAAATCCAACACTTTTATGCATATCTGTTTTTTGCAAAATGAAGTAAGTAAAGGTTTCTTTGCATGGTGTCCATTAACACAGGTCCTTATTCAAAGAGGTATCATTTTCATTTTCAAGTGCTCATGACCACAGACCTACTTTAAATATCACAAAATAACACATAACCCATTTCCATCTGAGCAATTCATTTTTCTAGCACTGCGTCCTCCACTGTGACATGCAAGCAGAAAAGATGAATGATGGGAGATGGCCTCGTAATCAAGCACTGACATTTCAGAGGGAGATCAGCTGGGATATGCACCCTTACCATTTACATTCCAGCAACCAGAGACTTGCACATGAGGTTTATGGCCGCGATTAAAAGTGATTAAAAAAATAGGCTAATTAAAGAGAGATGGAGGAAATCATTCCAGTTTTTTTTCCATTAAATATCCCATGAAATTAGATTTCTCGTTTGGCTGCATGGGATGGAAGGTTGAGCTTTTTATGTGTCCCCCCCCCCCTTCCAAAACAAGGTCCGTGCGGAGTAATGTATATGTGTGTCTGTGCACAGGGAATGAGGAGTGACAGTCCACTTATGAGGAGACGTTATGCTCACTGAGTTTAATTCCAATTCTGGAGTAGATCGGCGTGACAAGAGGGGACACTCACACATGTTGCACATTCAAATTTCAGCCGCATGTGAGACGAACAATGAGAGGGCCTTGTAATCAAGCATTTTGTTGTTTCACTCATGTCACACTAAGCAGCATTCTGAACACAACAAAATCTCTCAAATGAATACAGGAAACAGCAGCCGTCATGTATATGGAGTATATATACAGTATATATGGGAGGTCTCACCAATTGAAACCAGGTGTATGGCTTGTATGTCAATGGAATGCTGGTATTGGACAGACTGCCCGCTGACAGCTCCTGTGTACCGTCGTGACGTATGGGAGTAATGGTCACGGCTAATGCAGAATCCCAAATGACGGGAGAGAATGACATTTCTGGTAGCGGTAAATGGGCGAACGTGTAGAGGTAAAGCTCTACATCTGTTAGTAATAGCTTTTGAAAAGACGGAGAGGGAAGGGATGGAGAAGCGAGGGCGAGATGATGAAATAAAGAGGAAAGGAAAGGAAGGTAAAGGCATAACAGCACACGGAAATGTCTGTTTTTGGCAGAATGAACACCTGATATATCAAGATACTTCATCACATTGATGCAAAAATCCTGAAAATCCAATATTAATAAAAATCTGATATCAGGCATTCTCCTTAGTCTCATGATATATCTCATCATACCGCCCAAACATGCAGCCACATCCGAGTCCACAATTTGTGTGAGTGAGTAAGTATGTGACTGGAGAAAAAAAGATGATTGATGGAGGATAAAGAGGGTAAAGCAGGTTAGCTAGACTCCCAACTACAGTGATTTGACCAAAACAGCATGACATAAGAAGAGATGGAAAAGCTCTTATGTCTGCCCACTTCTCTTCACCATTAACAAAGTAGTGGGGTTTCTGACAGGTCAATGACTCCAACCGCCATGCGTCCAACTGTCATCTGAAAGCTGCAGGGCACACACACAACCACAGTAAATGGTCAAGGAAGAGGAGAGCTTCATAGAGTATGACTGACTGACCTGCAGTGCTCTCTTTATATTGTGGTCTTTTGTGTCTTTTGTGAGTGTGTACTGTGTATAAGTGGTCACACCTAAGCGCCCCATGGCCTTCTTCACATTCATCAGATTGATATTAATATTCATGAGGAAGCTGGTGGCCGGTGTCTCGAGATGGGATGCTAATGAATGGAGTGTGTGTGTGTGCCAGTTAGTGTGTATGTGTGTGCACAGCGCTTGTCACAGATGCAGGGGGCAGAACTGTAATCAAATCACAGCCGCCGCCTCATCTCCGCCCTCATCAACCACCAGTGGCGCGCCTTCCGTACACGCCAGTGCTAACATGCTACGCTACACGCCTGCCTGTGGTCTGTGTGTGTGTGCGCGACTGTGTGCACGAGTGTGTGTTGAATAATGGTCGGGGGCTGGCCCAGATAAAGAGGTCTAGAATCACGGCTAAGCTAACCACTAGGCGTACAAATAGCTAACCATTATCTCTCATTAGCATCCGTGGCTAACACAGGGCCCATGCTGTGCGGTGGAGGACCCTCACAATAGGACCACTCCTGTATGATTGATGGTGAAACAGCGTCGGCCACAATAACAGAACAAAAAAGAAAAGCACTAAAGATAGAATCTGTCAGTCGTGTAGAGGTAATAAAAACGTAGACAAACAAAAGGAAGTCAGACTAATCAAGAATGCCAGGCACGGCTCATTAATCTACGAGAGCCGACACTATTTGGGAGCCCGAAGATAAGTCTAATGACTGGCACTTTATGAAGATCACGTGCGCTCGTCCTATTCTGTCTGCTATCTTTTCATCAGCAGCAAAAACAAAAGACTAAAAATGAAAAGTGAGATCAAAGCGGGGAAGGCGTTTGGAGAATTGGGTGAAAGCTGAAAGAGTAAAGAAACAAAAAGGTAAATAGGACAGTTCCTGCATGGTTCAGGTTCCAGTGAACCGTTTGCTCAGCAGAGCCTGTAATCACAGAAAGAACTGCCGCTAGGAAAAAGAGAGCCCACGTCACGGTAAGTTGTTGAAAGAATTTGATCAAATGTTAGAGCGGGATTTGATCTGTGACTCTTCATCATCACTCCAACTCGAGTGCGGGGAGAGAAAACAGGGTTGGAAAATGAGTCATTAAAATCTATGACTCACTCTCTTATGCACAAATAAGATGCAGATCTCATGATTATAATTCCATCACGCTGGAAAATGAAGCCTCTGTTCTCTGTGATTGCAAAAAAAAAATTTTTGAGCCTCTGTTGAAGATTCCCACTAGGTTTACACATCTATTATTTAGTTGTGTCCCCTTTTTCACAAAGAGTATTTTGTCAGACTTGCAGTCCTACATGCACATGACGGCGTGCATAACACACACACACACACACACACTATTGTTCATTCAGCTTAAATACACCAATTGTTATTGTATAGTACAGTGTCGGCTGAATATTCCATTTCCATTTCATTTGGCCTTCTTGCTGACTAAGTGTTGATAATTCATCATTCGTCTGGGCCCGGGCTTATGAATATGGATTTCGGGCAGTTTATTAGCACATCTTAGGAATGCATTATGGGAAATTAGCAAGAGGAATCAAATTTGCACTTTCTAAAAATTGGGCAACTGTCTGTCTGTGTATAAAATGCAGTAACTTCAACTCCCAACTCAATCCTATGACATTGCATCGCGGCTCTTTTGGAGAACTTCCATGTGAACTTCCACATGGCTTATTTGTTTTAAATCTGAAACTGTGTCCTTTCAGCTGTCTTAGTAAAAATAAACATGACAGCTAAATCACACACAACACCGCCACCACTATGACTTCTTCGCTTCTCTGGAGAATGCGAGGAGAGGAGGAGGTTTGAGGAGAGGAGGAAATAATTGCACTTCCTTACCGAGCACATATGCAGCGAATTAAGACGCAAGCAAATCCAATCCGGGTTTCTTTTCTTTGGTCAGAACCAAGGAAGTAAACCTCATTTTGTCACATTTGGTATTTAGCTGGCTTGAACACCAAACAAGCGGTGACAAGCTAACCAAGGTGTGGATTTACAAATACCTTGTTTATTGGACATCCTGTCATCCTGCCAGGCTGGAGACTTCACGAAGGGAGTCAAAATAAATCCGCTACCAGACTCTAAGCGCAGCTAAGAATGACGGATTCTCTGCTGTAATTTACTGTACCTCACACCAGGTAAGAATAATCAAGAAATAGCTTGCCATCAGCGTCAAGGCTCATTTTGTTATGCCAAGCTGTCCAACTGTTGTCTATCAGGTCTCAACATGTCTGTGTGTTGAAGTGGGGATAGGAACAACAATAGGGCAACACTGTGCGAGTCCAGATGAACCAAATGCTAAAAATATAACATGGAAATCAGAGAAAACATTGAGGCTCAAGCACAGCATACACCCTGTCCATCAAGACATCCTCACCTTGTCTTTGTCTTCCACTAGATCACTCAGCAAGTCGTCCATGTCCAGGATCCCTCCTTCAACGTACTCTAAGTGGTGGGTGTTCACTTCACTCCCCCCATGCTGGACACAAAGACAGCAGCAAAAATGATAAAGTCACAATAAGGCTAGACTATAAAGAGAACAGATTTATTTAAAATTTACCTACCTAAGTTTACTCATTTGAATTAACATAACTGTCAGAATCCTGTATAATTAAACTGAGAATTGCTACAACAACCAATCACATTTGAGTAGGAGCTTAACCAACCAATCAGCTTACAGTATAGTTTGGGTGTACAGAATCTTTAACTGCTCCCACTGTAAAAAAAAAAAATCAGAAGAGAGGCACAAAAAATAATAACACACAAAATCCTTGTGAATTACCAATGTATTTGAATAGTGGTACACACAACTATTACTATACATGCTTTATGCAAACTATGGGAGGAAATAAAGTGTTTCATGAGATACAAAAGCTTTATTTATAGAACAGTGCTTACAATAACTGTCATAGGGTATCAGGCCAAATAAAGACAACATCCCATTTGTGTACAGTACAGATGTCCACCCTGACAACAGCCTTTTCCGATGGAACATTATTTTACGATAACTATAGGTTTTAGTAAGAACTGGAAGAAAAAACATTTTGCTATGCTGTTTACATCGAGTTATCTGTCCCCTTAATATCTCGTTAGTTGTTGCATTTGACGTCTTGCAAATACTGGAATTCTAGGAGAATTTTTGCCTTACTGTAATTAAGCTGACATTTGCTGTAACAGCCAAAAGTGGGGTTATAACTAACAGTTATTTTCATTTTCGATTATTCTGTTGATTATTTTCTCGATTAATCGATGAGTTGTTACGTTGTGAAAAATCTTGATCGATTTTAAGGTCACGAACCAAATATATTCAGCTTTTTGTAATAGAGGAGCAAAGAAACACAGTGAAATAAAATATTCACTTATAAATGCTGAACTCAAAGAATTTTTCTTTTAAAAAAAAAGGGACTCAAAGTGATTAATCAATTATCAAAATAACTGCAGACCCATTAAATAGTTGACAACTAATCGATTAATTGACTAATCATTGATGCTTTAGCCAAAAATAGGAAAATGTAATACATTACAAGTCATATGATTCATACAGGCTTCCGCACATTTTTATGTTAAACTTTTCCTCTTCTTATTGACCTTTGTTTAAAGGCTTTAGTCATTGTTTGAATATAAAGTATTAAATAAATTGGAAATTTGAATACTATGTTTAGAGCAACAAATGTGTCCCAATACTGACCAGTCAACATGACAACCACACGTATAATATCTAGACACAACAGTAGGTTTCCCTATTTGTTTGGCAGGTACCGAAGGAACAGATGACCTACATCACAGTGCATGCACAACCCTGGGTTTACGGCGCACAGTTTGTACATAGGAATGTGAGAATGAGGTGGGGAAAAGACAGGAACTTTTCCAGTTTTGCTGGTCTGTGGGGAGCAGTCGTGAGCACATTCCAGGCCGGTTTCATTGTTGCCATGAAGACAGAGGTCAGAGTCAACCCACCCCACAGAGCAGGAACTACAGTGAGCCTGGCGTTCAATCCACTGACAAAGAGAACAAACACTTTTGACTAGGTTGCAATCTGAAATCTGTGTTCCATTTACACAACAAAATCAATAGAGAAGTACACGAACAATGGCATCTTCCCCTTTTTGTGGCCAGAATATGGAATCTACTGTGGTTATGCTATGCAGAGCTCCTAGAGAAAGTGCATCTGTGAACCATTTAACACGAGGACAATGATAAATTGCATAAAAGTGGGTTCAATTCAGTCTTGTTATATAAATATTTGCAATTTTTTCCACAATTTCTATTAAAAGTCATTTCTGGACATAGAAAAGAAATCTTTGATAAGCATTATCGTTTCCAGCAATGTGTGGAATAGAAAATGACCATTAGGAACTGCCCATACCAATAAGCAATCTGTCAAGAGCAACACAAGACTACATTACCAGCTAAATTAACAGCTAAATTAACAGCTATAGGCTATAAGCCTCAGAGGCTGGAATGAGTTTGGCTGTACCCAGCGAGCAGCTTCTGCTGTATCACTGAAGCCCATTGTGAATGGGCTGGTTCTTGCTCTGCTGCATCCGAATGTGAATTACAGGGCACAAAAAAAAAAAAAAAAAAAAAAAAAAAAGAGGGTGTCTGCCTTTCACAATTGGCCAAGTCCATTCTCTTAAATCAAATGATTGGGAGAGCCTGGGATTTCAATCACAGGAATAAAGCCAGAACCTCCCTTTCTTCAGAAGTGACCATAATACCCGCGCCAGAGCTGTGAGAGATAGAGCGAGTGGAATGAACTACAACTAGCACACAAAAATACACTGCAGTTCGTAAAGGCATTGTGTGACAGGCAAACAGGCAGTGATCCAGAGCCCAGAGAAGTCTGTCACCTTACAAAATATTAAGTTATACAAAAAATATGAGCAAGGCCATGCAAAGAAAGAGTATGAACCTGCGTTATGAGCATTTAAGTTAATTATATGTTTGTCAGTTTATACTAAACCTTGGAAAAATTACCTCAAGGTTGACTTACTAGCTTTTCCTAGAACTTTCACCTGCATCTCATGGTCTTCATCAACAGATGGATTGTGATATGTGGTTGAAAGCAAGGAAAGAATCTAGCAAGTGGACCATATGTAAAGACAAGTAAAGATTGCTTTGTCAAACTGTGTCATTTTGAAAAGAAAAAAAGACAGTGTGACTCACCTGAGACACAAAATGTACGTAAAAAGTCAGATAACAATCCTAAGTTCTGAGAGTTTCATTTGAAAATATTTACTATAGGGCAACACGTGAGATGGAAACCAGCAGAGTACATGACTCATCAGGGCAAAGCAATTACACATCACCAGAAAACCTGGTCCAACCTGAACGACTGCCGGTGTTCTTCTGTATACCACTGCCACTATTTATTTCTGACAGAGAGTGTGTGCGTATGACAGCAACAGCAAAGGAGGAAGGAACGCGAGGCTTGGAGTTTGCGATGACATCACCAGCATTAAGAGAAGGGAGAGAAGGATTAATCCACATCAGTGGATTAGAGCACAACAATGCCCGAGTGTTAATTAGCATCACCTCTGCAGGCCATGCTTAAGCACACCTGGCATACTTGTGCTTGTTTCCCCCACCAGAACTCACGAGGAACGACACTTTCCTCTCTTTCTACCTAGTGATGAAAAGGGATGAATGTATGACACTTCAGAGAGAAAGTAATCTAAAGAGAGGAAAGAAGGAAGTAAAAAAAAGAAAACCTTCTGAAGTCCCTCACTGTCAATCCCTGGTAATTCCCCTTTGTATCCTGAGCTCTTCCCGTGAAATAAAAAACAAAAGGAGTCGGGAGTCAGTCAGTCAACAGCGGAGGAGAATTACCGTGACAGTTAGAAGAGTAAATTCCCTGCAAATTACACCATTAAGTCGCTCCACCATTTAAAGCGATATCACTCCTTCTTCTCCCTCTCCCCTGTCTCTGGTGAGCAAACATGACACCACTCGAGAGCGGTGAAGCGGCGGGGCGATTAGTGAAGCTAAATTCAGTGGGGCTGCAGCAGTGGTGGTGGCGGTGGTGGGGGTGTCGGGGGTTGCTATTTCACACTTTGATCCTCAGAAGAATGTGTAATTACACAGCTGCAGGAAGACGGTGTGGATTTAGCCGTGACAAAAAAAAAGTCTTAAATGAACGTGTCAATGAGGGGGTGTCTTTGAGTCGGATCCATCGGTGTGAGGGAGAGGACAGGGAGAGGACAGGGAGAGAGCTTTCTCTCTGAAGGAAGAAGACAGCCAGAGATGGAGACAACTTGACCTTCACCTACATTCTACTCTAATCTAAAAAGGGCCAAACTTAACCCTAAACGTTATAGAAACATATTGAGTCGATAGGTAACACTTTAACCCTCGCAATTTAGCATTAATAAGCAGTATAATATGATAAATGGCACATAAAACGGTTTATAAGAAACTCTTTTGTGTTATTAAGTGATATAAGGACTTTACACCCTTGAGATATCTTGTTGAAAAATGTGCTGTACTGAACTTAACGTGTTTGAAGTATTTTTAGGAACAAGATTCCCCAGGTTGCACTGCGGTTTTTAGAACCACACCATTTCAGGGGGCAAATTGGCAGCAGGAAAAAAAAATCACTAGTAATTATATATTTTTTATTTTATTTAGTGTTAGAGGGCACGCAGGACAGAATGATTACATTAATACACCCACAAAAGTCTGATGACTTTAAAAACATGCTCTACCATATACATAATATATACATATTACAGTATACATAGTATTGCTAAGAACTGTTTTTACCTAATCTGAATATTGCCATGAATTGCCTGATGTTACTGTATAGTGATGTCAATATGATAAATAAAACATTATTTGTTAAAATCACAAGCATTCACTAACTGTTAACAGCTAATGAATGCTTGACTATATACATCATTATAGTCATTTAGGCTGGTGACATTGTATGTGTTCAGTAGTTTTAAACACATTTCCATACATTCCATACAGTGCTTTATTACACACTAAGAAAATTGTATTAAGCAGTAAAAAAAACTCTCTTTCCATTTATTTACATTTAAAGGGGCTTTATGTAAGTTTTTCAATTAAAATTACTTATTAATAAATCTAATTGTCATTGCCTTATTGTCAATGGGCTCAAAACTCACATAGAAATGAAGCACGCACTTCTCTGTTGATTGCATCAGCTACTATTTTGCTATAAATGTGAGGATACCGGGTCGGATTCAGCTCTGTGCGCGCTCCTGAGCCTCTCTCTGACTACAGCAACAACACCACAACGACATGCAGTCCACTAACACCATAAAACATTGACTCCAACATAAACTCCATGCAAGGATAAAATCAACAATAAAGGTTGATGTGATGAAGCCTGTCAGACCAAACGAGATTCAGATTATGACAGTCACACCAGAAAGTCACGTTAGCTCGGCTTCTGTGTTTAATGTGAGATTTCTGTATGAAAGTGGTTGTGTTTCGGATTATGCTCGCTTGAACTCA